AAACACTCACCAACGGCTTGCTGTGTGCCCAGGCACTACAGTAGACAGAAGAAGTAACATTAGGAAACCGGGAGGCCAAGAACGGCCTTCAGAAGGGTCGCAGAACATAAAAAGGATATCAGCAATTGTTTTTTAAAATATGGCTTGGAAGGGAAGAATTACAGAAGCAAATGAGTAACAAGAGTCTGAGATCAAGGGAGGACTGATTTCTTCCTGCAGGTGCCCTTCTTGGTGCAGCCTCTAAGCACACACAAAGGCCAAAGCCAAAGGCTGTTATGTTAGCAAGACCAGAATGACAGTCAGGCAGAAGCAGATGAGCTGCCCAGCCAGGTACAGAGATGTGTCTCTGTCCACAACTGGAGAAGAAACTGTCTTAGCACAAGGACCATGGGATTCTACCCAGACAGTTCTATTTTTCTGGAGCAGGTGGCAAGATCACCTACTAAGAGTAGAAATGAATGGACGAGCAGTTTGAAGAGCAGGAAAAATGCTCAACTGGATTTTGCATAGATCAGAAAGTGGGTGATAATCTAGAAGATTCCTTCATAGCCCCTTTAAATGGTACTCCTCCCTGCCCCCAGCCCTGAACAGCCTCTACTTCCTCCCTCTGTACCTTCCAGCTATTTGTTCTCTTTGAGACTCTCCATCTTTTAAATAGCCACACCTCTCCAAATAGTCCCCTCATTAAAGTCTCATTTGAACCATCTGGCATGAATTCTGATTCCTGCAGAGTCCCTGACTTATATACACATACATCATGTCACTCACATGGGGCTCCCATTATGAAACCACAGCAAATGACTCAGGCTATTTGTCTTGCTTTCTCGCTCAGTAAAATTATAATATAATGAATGTAACCATGTAACTTCCAAAGTCACATTAAAACTGAAAATGACCTTTATAAACATATTGAATCCTAACACTTGGGAGACAGAGGCAGGTGGGTCTCTGAGTTTGAGGCCAGCCTGGTCAGTCCAGGCCAGCCAGGGCTACAGGGCTACACAGTAAGACCTCAAAAGAAAAATGAAGGAAGGGAAGAAGGAAGGAGGGAGGGAGAAAGGGAAGGGAGGGTGAACAAATCATTAAAGCTTCCAGAGGAGCCTCCTAGCAGAGCAAGGTAGCATCTTCAACACTGTATACAATTCTGGGTACTTGGATCCACCCTGAGTAGCCAATTTTCTCATTAACTAAAATCTAGACCTTCCTTGGGTCCAGGAGAACAAGTTGTACTCTAAAAATAAAAACAAAACGAATACTGCACTTCAGTGGTAATTGCCACCAACAGTACTGAGTTTAAAAAAGTTCAGGAAGCTTTTTTCAATGACCAAATGCATTTGGGGGGCAGGGAAGCTGTCTAGCAAGTCAGTTCCAAACTCCATGCCTGACCAAAGGCACTCAGTAACCCAAAGAGCATCTGCCCATGCCTGCTCACTGGCCACTCAGAGGCAGTCCAAGTTACACCCACACTCACAGGCCTCCTTGGCTTTTTGTACTCCTCGGAGCTTCCCCTCTCACTCTATCCCACCAGACCCTTTCTTCTCTGAACCATGACAACAGCCTGGTTCGAGCCGTGTTTTGAGAGGACAAAAATGGCCCTTCTGAATCCAGGCTGATGTCATTTTGAATGCCTCTATCATATGCTAGAATTGGGAGATGTAGGGATGACTACAACTACTTCCTGTATCAGTTGAGTTTTCTTGATAATCACAGCACTCATACTAGGAATAAGACAAGTGCTAAGTGAGAATGTGATAACGTGATTCACAGGAGTGGGAATTTCCAATGTTCAAAGATTGAGATAATCTAGTTGGTGGTGTTTCTTGCTGTTCTTGTTTGTCCATTTTGTTTATTTTTGCTTTGAGACAGGGTAACATTTGTAGCCCAGGCTGATCTTACACAGCATCCTCCTGCATCAGCCTCCCCAGTACTGACAATACAGGAATACACCATTACACATGGCTGAGATAATCAAGTTTTATATAGTGTCTGAATACACAAATAAGGGAAACTGAGGCCCAAAGATGCTGAGTACCACAGCTATTGTTATGCAGCTGGCTGGTGGTAGTGCGTGGGACACTGAATGGTCACTTTCACTCCTATACCAAAAGAACTTTGACTCCAATTTCCAAACCGAGACCAAAAGGGCCTACATGTGTATTCACAACTTCAAAACTCACAGTGTCACTACAATTATTTCAAATTTGTGTGTCTGTATCACTAGCAATCACTCCTCTAATCAACACAAATATACTGTATACTGTAAAGTGCTTGATTATAGTGGACAGCCTCTACCATTCCAGCTCTGCAGACAGTCCAGGGGGTCCACACATATACTTCCCAGGGTTTAAGATCATTCAACACTTCCATATACGGCTCAGTAATCAATGTTATTTCCCACTCCAATCAATCTCAAAATCACCTACTATCCGATTAAGCCTCAAACTCATCCACTGGGTAAACATTTAAAAAACATACCGTGCATACTACGCAGTAGGCACCACCAGGAACCTGGGCCCAAGAAAGGTGAGCAAAGAAAAGCCAGGCATGGTGGTGTGTGTCCCAGCACTGAGGAAACTCTGCTCTAAGGATGAGCTGAGCCAGCAAGTTCAAGACCAGCCTGAGCAGTGGGACCATCTCAAAAGAAATAATAAAGTAAACCAGAAAATATGTGCAAAAGTAACTGAGGGACAAGTTTATCGCGAGCGTTTCCTGTGTGGTCAGATCCTGCTGTGGCTACACACTTAGAGATTGTGTAGTCAACACAAAGTCTTCTACCAGAATGCAGATTCTTAAACTGTGGGTAGTAATCCTGTAAGTTACACAGGGCCATGTAACCGAATGTGGAGGTAGCAAAAAAAAAGAAAAAAAGAAAAAGAAAAAGAAAAGAAAAGAAAAGAAAAGAAAAGAAAAGAAAAAAGGCAAAATGAAAGTCTTCTGAACACACAGGATCAAAAACAAATTCAAAAATCAAACCCATAGTGAATCCAAGGTGTTGCTAGCCAGCAGTACCCCCCAATCCAACTTCATCAGCCTTTGTTCTGAACGTCTCTCTGTACATGCACCTAATACCCAAGAGTATTAAACTGAAGCACTTCAATTCAGAGTCAATTTACTGTATGTGATGAATTGTAGTGTTTTCACTGTTTGTTACTATTTGAATATAAAGCACCCCCTGTAGGTTCAAATGTTTGAACACTTCATCCCCACCTCCTAACACTGTTCCAGGTAGTTCTGAACACTTATAGGATGAAGAGCCCTGTTGGGAAAGGAAGTCACTAGGGGCAGGGACTTGAGATTTTAAAGCCCAGCCCCACAGCCTGACTTCTGTCTGCTTCCTGTTCCACCAAGAGGTGAGGAGTCCAGGACACAGTCCTGCCACCATGGAGCTGCCTGCTGCCATGCTTTCCCCTCTGGAAGCCCGAGGAAGCCCTTCCTCCTTGAAGTTGCTTCTGGCAGGTACTTGGTTACAACAACGAAAACACTAACACACATGTATACCAAGGGTTCTGCTCCTAAAGAAAGAAAACGCTTTGAATACTGAAAGCAAAAACTAGATACATTTCCCTATCTATTCCTCAGCATGCAATCATCAAAAGACTGGGTCTTTGACTCACTTGTGTCAGAATTTTGATCTGAAGAACTGCTGTTTGAACTGCTAATATGAAGTTCCAATGGTTTATGCGTGGCAGTAAGGGCATATCTTGAACAGTTTCCAAAATGTTCCTAACTGTACTTCCACAATTCTGTACTACACATTTATACAGAGCAATGTTCTTAGTATTGATGATTATAAAATTAAAATCTCAATCAACTCTGAAAAACACTGAAGATGCTCCATGTCCTGTAGTATCAAATATTAACCAAGACTTAATTCTTTTTTGTTTGGTTTTCGTTTTTCAAGAGAGGGTTTCTCTGTGTAACAGCCGAGGCTGTCCTGGATCTCTCTTTATAGATCCACCTGCCTCTGCCTCCCGAGTGCTGGGATTAAAGGCATGCACTACCATGTACGGCTACTACAATTCTTTATGTAAAAAGAAATGAGTACATCCAGTTCTATACTTTCATCTTTAATAAATGGTAAAATTACATGTATTCAAAAATTGTTTTAAAATAAAAATTTGTTTTTTATAGTTAATGAATGCTTACACTGTCTACTTATTTTATATACTTACATAGATACTTACAAGGTCATGGAAATTCTTTGAAAATTTTTAAGTGGAAAAAGTTGACAAAGCCCCGAATTAGAATACTACATTTACAAAATGTTTTGAACTTAATCTACGCGGTTATTTACCACCTTTTGAAAGGTAATAGTTCAAAATGTCTAGAACAGGAAATTAAATAATTGGCAAGAAAAAAAACGTCACTTTCTAACGACTCCAAGGGTTGTTCCCAACAGATGAGGGAACATTCGTTTCCCCACTTAAAAATACTGTCCACTGAGTCAAACAAAAGAGAACATGTAGGCAGCGAGTACGCATCAGCGTCTTTACCTTGCTAATCTCTAATTCATTCACACTTAGGTCATCCTTGTTTTCACTTTCAGTTCCTCGCCACTGACTGAATCTGATACCAAGCATGGGCCATCGCATGCTAAGCTTTATAAACAAAGTCTTACTATGCATTAGTAGAGTGATCCCAGTTGACATTAGCTTTTCAGTACAGAGCACCAAATGGCCTAATGGAGGTGTGGCTGGCTTAGAAACACGCACTTGCTGCTTTTCGCCAAGTCCGGTTCAGAGAGTCGTGAAGATACCACTCAGGCTTCCCATCCGCTGCAGTGCGGAGGTCTTCAGCAGATTAAAAGCCTGCCCGTCCACACCCCAGGGATCCAGCCCGGCGGTCTGCGCGGAGGCGGACGCGCGGCGGGCCGAAGGCTTGGTCGGCGGCTCCCACACGCAGCACCGCGCCCCGAGCTCCTCACCGCACCTTCCCAGGTCGCCCAGACCCAACGGTCCCACACCGCGCGGCTCCCCGCCGGACCCAGGGCATCCACTCACCTCCAGCGTCCACTGTCTGCAGCCAGCATCAGGTCCCCGCCGACCCGCCCCAGCTCCGGGCCGCCGCAGCCAGCCGTAGGGCCGCACTTCCGCACGCCGCGAGCGCCGAGCGCGTCGATCCTCCGCCTAGCCGAGCGCCGAGCCCTGGATGGACTGCCTCTTCCAACCCGGAGGGAGGAGAAGGGAAGTGGGAGGGAGGTGACAGACAGAATGGAAGTCGAGAGGAAAGGGCTAGAAGGAAAAGAAGGGAGAAGGAGAGGAGGGTGAAGAGATGGAAAGAAGAAGAGGAGTTGGTGGGGAAAGGAGAAAAGGGAGGAGGGAAACAGGAAGGAGGAGAGAGAAAGTGGAAGCCTGCGGTTAGGAGAGGAAAGGGGGGGTGGGGAGTGGAAGAGGGTACAGTGGGTTAGGGTCACTGTAGACGTTGGTGGAAGGGTCCTCAATGAATCAGAGGTCAGCACCAGGTCAGGAGGCAGACCTCAGTCCAAGGACTGCATCCAGCTTGGAGTGCCTGCCATATTAAGGGACCCAAGGGTCAGAGCTCTGGCGTTCCAAAGGCTTGAGAGGTAAATTGACTTGCAAACTTCCAAGACTCCAGAATTATAGAAATGACTCCCATCTACAGCCCAGAAGTCCGAAACTTTGAATGTGCCCTCCTGTGGGCTGGGCTCTGTAGCTCTGGAGATGGCCAGCTGAATAGAAGCAAGCATTCCCTTGTGGCTTCCTCCATAGCAGTCCAGGCAACAAAGGACAGTGGTCTGCACCAGAAGACAATGGGGGAGGCAGAGAACAGTGATTCCCGTTGTGTTGCTGTGGCTGTGGAGGGAAATAGCTGCAGGGTGCTGGTCAAGAGTGTCATTATTGAAGACCAACAACAGCCTAAGCTATTGCTTTTCAAATACCTTTCTGTGCTGAATTATGCACTCAGTACATACATGGAGGGGGGGGTGTATGTACAGATAACAGGTATAGCATGTTTTCATTTTTCTCTCCTTTTTGTGAGAAGATATATCAAAGTGTTTCCAGAACCATCCATCTTAAGGAGCAGGGGGACACTCTTTAAATGTGAACGAGAGGCCTGGCAGCAGAGGTCCTAAGGAAATACTGTAAGAAATGTCTGGCAGTCATGCATCCTTTCACAGTGAAACCAAACCCTTTGGGTCTCAGTGACACGCCATTTCTCAGGTTAGGCTGTCCTGCCATCAAAGCCAGAATGTTGAGTCTTGAGAACTCACAGATTTTTCCTGGATCAAAAACTAATAATAAATATGCCATACTACTGAAACAGAAACACTCGGAAGAGGAAAGGAACTCTTTTGTTATTATAAAGAACACTGGTACAATTCCACGCCCCCCCCCCACCTCCACCCTCAAGTTTCTGGTCCTAACTCTAAGCCAACTAACAAACAGTGGTGCAGAGGTTGCCAGAAAATAAAATCATTAAACCTAAAATTGCAATAGTAGCTGCTGGGGCAATTACAAACCATTGTATAGGTTTATGTTTTCAGCACTGTTTCAGATTTCATTAGAACTAAAAAGAAGGACTTTGACGCAGTTCTTCTCATTCTCTTCAAAACAATCTTTGGACACACTGGGGGACTCTGCTCTGCTCCTTGGAGAATTTATGTATCTGTTTTGCCTTACATCAACCCCTTAAGTACTCAGTACTGTGAGGCACGTCAGTTTGAAAGGGGCCACAGTTAGCATGCAACCTAGCCCTCAACACAACTATTAATGTGCCATCTCTTAATGCTCCCTTTTAGCAGAAGCTAATGATTAGTCATTTAACTCATGGACTCCAAGGTCCTTACGCATTCCTGCCTTATTTATTGTCATAGTATATACCACAGAGACCCTCTATGACAGTTATTCAGTCCATCAAGCTAGCAATCCAAAGACCAGTAGCCATAGCCTGTCAACAGAGTCCTGTCTCTTTGTTTACTTTTTTGTCCTACTCCTGAACATCTTGAGGGAAAGGATTTTGTGTGCTTTCACCCTAGATAAATACCTGTTGGATGAAAAGCTGAAGTTCAAGTGTTTGTTATGGTAACATCAGAGCTGTGGGGGAGAGACCTGTTTCCAGTGGTCTGCTTCAAAATATACTAAATGGCCATGCAAGGGGGGGGGGCAATATTTGATAAATAAATCCTGACAGTATAGTGATGGCTGACATGCTTTAGCAAATACCACCACTTTGACATTCTTCATGTTTAAAACTACAGAGAGGATTTGAAATCCTTCAAGGTTGTCACAATACCAAGCTCTTATAGCAATTCCTTAGCCACGGTTCTTGGTTTAGGAAACCCTTTGACACATATTCTTTTTACCTTCTTTTTAACTATTGTGTGCTCTTAGCAAATGCCTTAGTAAGTAGCCATCTTCATTTCTCATTGGCTTTAGATCTCTGTGTGAAAAGTCCTCAACATAGTCATATGTCTCTGATCAATTTTACAGGGAAATGGAGCCCTGTGGGCTTTTTATTTACTTGAAATTTGCATATTTCTATTTGAAAATTGTAAATAAACTTGTCTCTAAAGAAGAGGCATGGTGTTACTGTTACCTCAACCATATGGCTATTACTGCCATAGAGTGCGATAGTGCAGATGTGCTGAACACCTGTGTTTATATCTGGGTGTCTCTGGCGGTAGGTTATGTCTGTAGGTGGTCCATGAGGGAATGAAGAAATTGAGGAAAAGCTCTTTCTGCCAGAGATATATTAGAGCCATATAACCTGGGGAAAAAAGAACTCGGTCAGAATGTGGAAAGAGCTCAGTTAGCATCCCAGGAGGGTGCTCTCCAATCCCTGCTCAGTTCCCAGAGGGCAGAAATAACCCAATTCTGTGATTATATGTGAACAGGAATTAAGATGTATGTCCTAAATAGGGGAGGTCTAACTAAATGTATGATCCCATTTTGATTACTTTTAGTTTTTCTTATTTTGTTGTTTTTGCTATCATTGTTTTGAAAGAGTCTCACTGTGTGGCCCAGACTGGCTTTGAAACTAACCTGCCTTAGCCTCCCAAGTGCTGGGATTATAGGGATGCCCTGTCACAGCCACTTTTAATTTAGTTTAGTTTGCTAGCTAGGAGTAGGTGTCTCTGTGTGTGTGTGTGTGTGTGTGTGTGTGTGTGTGTGTGTGTGTGTGTGTGTGTGTGTCTGTATGACATTAGGTATTTTGGTTTTTTTTTTTTTTCTACTTGGAGACAGGCATACCTGGTTCAGTTTGAACAAAATAAATTTGCACTTTGTCAGCAATGTCAGTGGCCACAGGACTGACATAGAAAATAGCAACATATTACCAGTTTACCCATGGATATAGTAGCATCCTGTGAGGATGAAGGTTCTGGGCAGAGATACAGGCTTGCTGCCAAGGTCTTCTCCCACTGGGACCAGAAGGATCAGCTATGGTATCATGCTGTGTAAAGACTTAACTCTTGCTACCCTCCTTTAGGAAGGCTCCCTGCTGGTCAGGGTGTGTCAGCTTGCATACAGTTTGCCAGTTTGTCTTCAGATCTCATTTTTTTTAAATTCCAAAATGATAAAAGTATTATCCCCACCCTTTCAGTCCATGATGACAGGTTTCCCTACATTCAGCAGGACTCTCCTGAATCAGAAGGCTCAGACACATGTCTCTCACAGGGACTGACCTGGGGTTCTCAAGGCAATGACAGGACACCAGCATTGTTACTGAGCACATGAGAAACTATGTGAAAAGGTAGCTGTGTCTTGGGCACTCGAGATGTCTTCTTCCTCAAGTGTCTATCCTGTAGATCAGGAAGCAGTCCATTGTCCGAATGTTTTGTTTTTATTTCTGGGGTCCTAAGACACGAGGAGCACATGCACAAATAAATGCTGGGGAATGTTTCCACCCCACATATGCTTTCCACTTTTGCCAAGTGAGACCTTTGTTCTTCCTGACTGCACCCTTGTAACAAAGACACTTAGACTGTGGAGTTGAGAAGTGCTTCATTTTTCACTCCTAGTGAAAAATACTCAAAATGTTCAACAGCAAATCACCACAGGAAACAAAAATATCTTTAGCCCTGAAAAAAATCTAGAACTGACAATAACACTGTTGATTAAAAGAAAATTACTTTGAAAATCCAAAACCCACTTTCTGCTTCCTACAGGATGTGACCTCTGAGTCTTTGACCTATGGAAAGTTCCAGTTATCTCATTTTTAAAATGAGGTGGTTGGATAGGAGAGCCTGGAGTGCTTTAGGCCCTGAAATCTCACAAGTAGGTTTCAGCAACAACCTTCTAAAGGAGCTTTGGCAGAGCTTCAAGACCCTCTCATCTGGCACCTCTGTCTGGCCATCTGGGTGGAATGGGGCATATGGGTGGTGTTAGTGCAGTTTTTCCAAATAACTCTGTATGCCATGAGAGTGGCTTGCACTAATTACTCTGCTGCTCAGTTGAAAGGTGGGGTCCCCCAGAGGCTTTTTTCTGTGACTCGGTTACCTATAATACAATCCATTTTAAGCAGAACTTCGAGATTGCGCTCTCCATCTCTCTGTTTCTACACTCTTTTGCTCCCTCGTCCTCAGGCACATCCACACCTCCCTGTTAGCTTCCCACCCTGTAAATAATTACTGTGCTAAGGTACAATCTTCTAAAGGTATTTTACAGGGCTAACTGTGAAGTAAAGTAATAAAAAAAAACAATATAACGATAAATATTTGAGCTGTGTTTTCAATTTTTCATTTTTATTGAACTTCTGCTTTTTCCATTAAGTAATTCTTCCTATGCTTGACCACATTCTTCAAACCCTAGATGTCTAGGTTCTGTTTTTATATTTTCTTTCTATTTAATGTTATGCATACCCATCCTACTAACAGATTAGAAATTTAGATGAATGCATGGACATGAATGGTATGCTTCTTTCAGATAAACACTAGCTTTCCTGACCTTATGGACATGTGAGGATTCTTATAAAGTTTCATTTAAGAACAAAGATAATTAAAAGTATACATCTGCAAATGATATACCCTTGATAGCTGATAAGCCTTTGGAAACTTCATTTAGGAAAAAAAAATGTCATTGATTGCTATTTGCTCCGTCATGTCATTTTGTTTTAGAACTGTTTAAATATAATTGTTACTGCTCCTAAGTGACTCCTATTTGAAAGCATGCATTTGTT